GAAAGAGTGAGACTTTAATGAAGCAGACAAACGGAGTCGTGGCTCAACGGGACTAGGGGAAGGTCCTCTCATATTTCCGGATTCAGTAGCAACATCTGATTTTGATTTATGAACCACAGAATATTTTTCATTTCTGAAAAAAGGAAAAAAATAGAAAGAAATGAGAAAATAAATGGGATGGGAAAAGAAGAGAAAAACAAAAAGTGAAGAAGGAAAACGAGAAGTGTACGGTCTGTGATCTGTGGGGAGAGTGAGTTGCGGAGGGAAGGTGTGTTCGTGTGTTTTAGGACAGAGTTGGTGTTGGGTTAAGTCGTCTTAGTTTTTAGGTAAAACTAAAATGTAGACAGACTGGTCAATCTAAGACGCCGCAAATTAACTGAGAAGGCAAAATCTTACTTTTTTTTTTTTGTAATAATTACACAATTTGACTTATGTTTGAGGGATGAAGGCCTCATTTATTTTGCTGATTCGAGTTTAGAATTCGAGTTTTATTACAGTAAAAAATTCTCATAAACATTCACATCTAACTTTTTTACTACAGTAAAGAGCTCTCACATACAATCACATCTCAACTCTAATTCTAAACTCGAATCAGCAAAACGAACGAGAAAAATAAGATTCCATTTATTTTATTTATTTAAATTTAAATTTTGAGTTTTAATGCAGTAAATAAATTTTAAAAATAGTTATATTTAATTTTTTTATTGCAGTAAAAAATTCTCATATAAAATCACATTTCAACTCGAAGTAAAAACTCGAATCAAACTTTAGTTGTTTAAATATCACTTATATAGCTGATTTTTTTAATTACCTTTCTTAGCAACCCTAAAATAACCTTTGCATTTATTTTGTCACGTTTTTAGATTTTGTAACTAATTTTCATATTTTTAGATTAATAATAATAATAATAATAAGTATGTTTTACTCACATAGTATATATTCACACACTTTAGGACATGTTCTTTTGGAGTGTGACTTGAGTGTAGTTTTTGAGTTAAACTAGCCTTTTATGCTACAGTGAAAAGCTCTCAGAAAATGTCACATATCAGCTTAAATTGAAAATTTGAATCCGCGAAGTGAACGATGCTTTAATTACTTGAACTAGCCTCGAGTGCTACATATTTATCAAGTTCATGTTTTTTTTTATATAATTTTAATGTGATTAGCATAGGGGGATGGGAATAATGTTAATTTGAAATTTTGTAAAAAAAATAATAATTTGAAGATATTTCTTAGGTAATTAATTTGAGGACTTAATTTCTCTATAGACAAAAAAAAAAAAAAAAAAGAAGGACTTAACATCTATAAAGACTGTTTATTCATAGCGGGCCCCCAGCGGGAGGCCCGCACGACGGGCTATTAGCTCAGTGGTAGAGCGCGCCCCTGATAATTGCGTCGTTGTGCCTGGGCTGTGAGGGCTCTCAGCCACATGGATAGTTCAATGTGCTCATCAGCGCCTGACCCTGAGATCAGATCAGAATCATAAATATGAGAATAAAACTAAAGACTCTAGTTAATTTATTCTTTGCTTACATGATGGTATATGAATAATAAGGCCAATATGATTTGGAATGCAGCGAAAGACGAATGAATTTAAATAAAAAAGTAAATACGGGAATTTGTTTCCCTCCTCGGTCAACTTTTCCTTTATATTCACAAAAAACGAACAAGTCTGTCCAATTATCAAAAAAAAAAAAAAAATGGAAGACTTGGAAGACTCTTCTTTTTTTTTTCCCCTGGAACAATGAGGTTTTACTCTTACATCAATAAACAAAGGATTTACAAACGTTTTATTATGTATCCTCAATCCTCATATTATTAGTGATCAAAATCTTCTTGTAATTTATGTAGATAAGTCTTTGAATTAGACCAACGAGATTTCATCATCAATTCAACTAGATGCCGCATTGATTTTGTAACTAAAAATGCGGTGAAAGATTGACCGAGGCGTTATTTATTTATTTTTGATTTTATATATTATTTTATTTATTTTTAGGGAAGATGCATTACTTCTTATAAGCACTAATTTCGGAATTTAACTTTTTCTGCTATGAATTTTGAAATCTATATATATATATATATTTGCTTGGAAAATTATGAAAGTCTAATTGATATTGTACACTTTATAAATATACTAAAAAGAGAGTTGGGATTTACTGTTGACACACTCATTTTATTGTTGTTTGTACAATGAAATGTTAATTTTGCCCTTTTTCTCTTCTCATGTCTTTTCTGTGTAGGGACTATTTGGTCTTCTTTGATAGGTTGATTGTACCATTTTGCCCGGATCTTTTATCCTTTTATTTGTTTTAGGTTGGGTGTTTTCGGTCATTTTTGTGTAAGTGGAGCCCTAGGTTATGTTCTCTCTTTGAATCTTTTAGAAGACATTTGGTTCATAAATTATAATCATGATATTATAATCATTTTTAATTTACGTGTATTTTTTTATGAGAAAAAATACAAATTCATTCAAAAGTCATTTACATGTACATTAGGCCTGTTTTCCGTTGTTTTCCCATCATATTCTTATCCTTTTATACCAAAAGTTGAAGGGGAAGGAAAAAAGAAAAAAGTCTCTTATTTGATTTCAACTTATTTATGATATTTATCTATGATTTTGATTTACTTTGAATTTTTGGTATTTCTACTTTAAGTACTAGAATCGAAACTTATTCCTCTATATAATATCTTCTTTTTTGTTACTTTTTAATTTGTTTTATTCCTTGAATTTGACTTGTGCACTTTGTCCTCTTTTTTTCCGTCTTTTCCTTTTCCTTTCTTTTTGTAATATTTTTAAACTTTTACTGTCTTATAGTCTGATGGTGCACTTTTGTCCTCAATTTCTTATTCCTTCATTTGTTCTTGCCCTGGGATTTTCTCGTCATTTATGTGCAAATAAAACCGTACATTTCATTGTTCATTTGGTATTCTCATTTTGTCCAGTTCTTTCACTTTGTTTGGATACAAGACGTAGACACATTGTTTGTGATATTGTTGTTTTTTCTTTCTCTTCTAATCCATTTAGTAGTCTTTGAACAACTTTACATTTTATTATTTTTTTCCTTCTCTTTTAATTCACCAGATAATTTTTGAACAACTTTACATTTTATTATTTTTTTCCTTCTCTTTTAATTCACCAGATAATTTTTGAACAACTTTACATTTTATTATTTTTTTCCTTCTCTTTTAATTCACCAGGTAATTTTTGAACAACTTTACATTACTCCGGTCATTATTCTTGTTTTCCTCTTCTGAGCATAGGTTTTTTTGCTCTTTTTATGTCTTATGATCTGATTGTGTTGTTTTTTCATCGTATAACAATTAGACTTCTTTAGGCGAGTTGGTGGAAATGACATGAATCTTCTCTTTGAAACCAATTTTTATTTGTCAATCATATTGGAAGGGCAAGTTTATGGTACGGGCACTACTGTTTCTTTACTGGTACAGTGTGATCGAAGGGCTTTAATATGGTCTTTATTGTACTTGATTATATGCCTTCTCTTTTTAAAAAAAAATAAAGAAAGAAAAAAATACAGATTCAAATCAGGATGAGGATTTATCTCCATAGACACAAAGAGGTGAGACCCACTTAGGAGAAAGTATGTGATTGTGTTGCTTTCCTTTCAAGTGTGTGATTAGGTCCAAACTTGGGGCAGGTGCAAAGGACATAGAAGACGAGGTCGGAGTTGATGTTGGTGATGCGAAGCTTGATGAGGGTTAGAAGCAAGTGGCGATGAAGTAGTCGTCCTTGAAGCAGGAAGACGGTGTTTGGTGCTCTTGTGCCTTGTATGTGTTTGTGTATAAGTTCATTCTTTAGGACTACCACGTGATAACCACGAGGGGGGATTTGTTTTGAGATATTTATATTTTTATACCCTGTATTTATGGTTTATTCAAAAATTATACTTTTAGTTTTTAATCTCATTAAATGTATACATTCAAATTATATTTAATATACAAATTTATACCTTATTTCGGTCAACAATTAATTTTGACCTTTAAAATGATAAAATTATTCTTAATAAAAAGAGAAAAAAGAAAATTAAAACTTTCTAACATTACTAAAAATAAAAATAAAAGACACAAAAAACCCATTTGAAGGTATTTTGAATATTTTTGAGGTCAAAATTGTAATTTGATTTTTTTTTCATTTATCATTTTTATTCAAGAGTATTTTAGATATTTTAAAAGTTAAAATTGAGATTGACTATAAAAAGGTATAAATTTGTATATTAAATATAATTTAAAAGTATATATTTATAAGATTAAAAATTAAAAGTATAATTTTTAACACAAAGATGTTTTAATCCCAAGCAAAAATGGCACACGTGATTTGCACCTGTCTAATTCCGTTAGTTTTATGATGGCTATTTGTGAAATGTACTTAATTGTAACTGTCAAGTAAATTCATGAGATTGGTTATTAAAATTAAAAGTTTAGGGACAATTTATTAAATCGGGGGCACGTCATAAAACGTTCTCCGACAAACAGAAATCCTCAGCGCAAGTCTTCAATCGCTTGTCTTTGATCTGAATCTTCCAGTGTCCGTCGCTGTAATTCGCTCTCTCCGCTCGTCGCCGGTCCCACTCCAACCTCGCCTTCTGCTTCTCACTTAGCAAACAGAATCTCCTCAGTCTCTCAGGCATTTCATCGAACACTTTCCACCACGTCTCGTGCGCATCATCGCTCGCGAATTTCGTCGCGTACTTCTCATTCCAATTGCAATCGTAATCCCTAAAGCAGACCCAAGGTTTTCTCCCCAAGTAATGGAGGACGTAGAGAATCGGAGGATCTGATCGGTACAAGCGATTCTTCATCTCTCTCTCCCTTTCGTCATCGATTCTCCATAAATGTTTCAGGAAGTTCATCCGCCGCGGAATTCGATGCCACCAGGTGAAGATCTCGTTCAGAAACCCTTGGTCGCCGCCATTGTAGGACTCGATCTCGTTGATTTGGTCGATAAGCATCTGGAACGTGCAATTTGATGGTTCGATCACCATAACTCCCGAGTTGAACAGAGCCGCGTGGTTTCCGGAGGCTGAAATCTCTGGAAATCCGAAGAGGAAATCGATGTTGCGGAGCACGAGAAGGTCGGCGTCGAGGAAGATGATCTTGTCGTAGTCGGTGAGTTGCCAGAGTCGGAATTTGCTGTAGTTCCACTCGTTGTAGAGGCCGCGTTTGGCTTTGGGGTTTCTGATCCGTCGGATTGTCCGGATCTTCCATCCGGCGAGTTCCAATCCTCGCCGGTGATGTTCGCCAATCGATTCGTCGACGAGAATCAGGAGGTCTCGCGTGGAACCGGTTCTTCGGATGCTCTGCGCCACGGCAATGGCTCCGCAGACGTACGCCTCGGCTGAGTGAAGGATTGTCGCGTAGGCTTCCCGGTATGCTGATCTCTCTGAGTGGAAGTTTTCTGCTTAAAACAAAAAATCATCACAATTTTTTCTCTAACGATAGATACAATACGATTTGATTTCTAAAAGTAAAATGTTAATGAGCTTGGTGAAAGTAGTAAACCTGTGTAATTTCTTGTCTGATTAGATTAGCTCCATAGAGGTTATTGCTTTGCGTATTTTGTATTTATGATTGTTAAGTATTTATCACAGTGCTTACTAACTTTTAAAATATCTTTGCGCGTATAAACTATTAATTAAAATTTAGTAAGATTACAGAAGTAATTTTGTGATTTATTTCAAGTGAATCGGAAACAATACCATGGAGGAAATAGCTTTTCCTTTTTCCACTCATGACAAGTAAGGATGTCCAAATATAAAGAGAGAATTCTTCAAAAAAAAAAAAAAAAAGGGACAGAGAGAATTGAAACAAGTGAAGTATGCATAATGAGCCACTGGTTTAAGTTTGATTACCATTAGGCTTGAGAGGAACTGCAAGTTCACATGATCCTATTGGGAGCTGTAGCTTATCTTTCAACCTACTTAGTTCTGGTTCATATAGCCATACATTCCCTTCTCGGACGACAAGATCTTTGCAAGTGAATAGATTTGGAATGGGGAGGCATTCAGTCAACAAAAGCACACGCACTGCACGATTCTCCTCAGTGTTTGCGACAATTCTTGCTGCTTCAAGCTGCAAGTGCAAGCGAGCCACGTTCCTTGACCAACTTTCTCTCTTGTTGCAGGGAAGCTTCACAGCAACAAGATCGATTCCGGGTTTTTCAGGAACTTGGATTTTGGGTAGAGCAGGACAAGTAGGGACATTGAATTGCTCTTCTTCATCTATCCATTCAGGGTAGAGCGATTCCCAAGTTGTGTTGCTCGATACCGGATCTAGTTTCAGGGCAACGTGCTCAGCATGATCAGGTATTACTTCCTTCCACCGATTAATTTCACTGTTATTGAAGTTTAATAGGCCAATTCCCTTGTATGTATCTTTGTCCGTTAACATGTTCTTTATGATGTCTGATATCTGGTCCCAGTTGATGTCTAGAGACGATATATAACGTACATCTGCAGCAGCAGTATTGTCCTCCATTTTCCATCTCTCTATAGAAGTAGGCCTGCGTACAATAAACGTTGTTCGCTACATTACACTTAACAAGAAGGAAAATTGCACGCTTTACAATACGTGGCATTGCATGGCTTAAAAGGCTCTATTTGAACGCTGAATGGTTCATGGTTGTCGTCCCCCGCGTCCAGAAGTTTTAGGTGACTAATCAGTCCTGGTGGTTTTAGAAGGTGGACTTTACATTTTGTACTATATACTATTGTCCCGGGACAATACCTAATATGAATTAACTTCCATGTTTGGATGAAAACTAAGATTCAAGTGGTTGCTTGAGTTTCGCAATTCTTTGTCAAATTTGATGCCCAAGTTCGTCAAGTAAGTTTAAGAACTACTCATTAGTTTCTGACTTGTAACTTTCTGTTTTTGAATGTTTAAGATGAGACAAGATGACATGACCGTTTTCATATTTGGACACAGAATTTGACCAAGGGGTTCCATCCTTAAGTTGAACCATCAAAACGTGGAAAGGGTTTTGCTAAGGCTTAGAGCTACTTAAGGATTGTTTTTGTGCATCTTTCAAAGAATTTCAGCAACATGGTTGCAACTTGCAGACATAGTCTAGTGATAATTCTACACCTGATTCCTAGTCGTTTGAGTAGATTACTTCATAACCTGCTGTAAAAGATTCGGAAAGTCATAGTTGTATAATCCAACTACTTCTCGCATCAGTTTTGAGAAGCTCGGAATCAGATTTCTTTTTTTCTTTCGGTTTTTTTTATTATTATTTTTTTAAGTAAACAATACTAAACTGGCCTTGAGAAAACCGGAACACAAGACGTAACAAATTGAACATACCAGGATAGAGAATTTGATAGACGTTCTGTATTATAAATCTCTGGAGAAAGGAGGAGCGTCACAGCAAAAGGCCCCAGCGTTATAATGAAAAGCACAATTTTTAAAGTTGGCTTGCACTTTAAACTCCGAGCTTGAACGGGTCTAATGTCGAGTGCCTTTCCAATATGCCCAAGAGCTTTATTTCTTTGTAATCTTCTTTTATTCGGGTCTTCACTATAACAACAAAGTATTCATGAGGAATTGAGGATTGATTTCCTTGTATATAGCAAGTTGAAGTAAAGGCAAAGGGAGCTACAAACGAATGAACAATGTTATCCAAAAAAATTCCATTTTCTAATTAGTTTCACAAATTTTACAAATACAAATTATCTTTGTCACCCATTCACTACTTAGTAAAGCGAAAAAATTAGACCATGATGTTATATAACTGTCCTATTCGTAAATAGAGAAGTGATAGGATAACTTTTTCTGTCACTCTCTGCATTCATTGTTTAACATGTAGATTTTATTATCTATTTTTTATTTAAATAATAGTATATCATGTTAGTAGAGTCCACATGTCAAACAGTGAATGAATAAAATGACATAAAGAGTGATGCTTACGTATTTTTCTTTCAAAATATGTTATATTTTCACTTTCACAAATATTAAGGTGAAACTGAAACACATACAAGAGAGTTCAAACCTATGAATTCCAATTTACATATTCCCTTTCAAACATTCCCACCTCACAGCCTATGTTATATTCACCGGACACAATTTGATAATACCGATAAAGTAGGACATGGATCACAAACATAGACGACTATGTCGTTTATGACAAATATTTTAAAAGTAGGACGCATGTTACGGATCAATAGGATGCTTTATTTCCAGGTTCAATCGGAGGCAACTTTTTAATTCTCATCTTTCTCAACCAATTCTTGCATCGAAGGCTGATAAACATTCTACAATATGGGCGAAAGAGTTTGTACAGCTATTGCCATAGATATGCTATTTGCGTAAGCATTAAAAAACAAAATTACTAAGCTAATGAGTGGTGTTAACCAGACTCCGTTGTCCTTGTCCAACAAATGCTACAATCAACTTGTTATTTCTTGATTGGTGAAACAAAATATCTGTGTAAATTAATGGAGTTAACCAGTTAAAACGGGGGGAAAAAGAAAATTAATTATCACAACGGCTACAATTTGTAAGCAACATAGAAAAAAGAAATGAGAGGCATAGAGAGAGACTTTGCCGGAGAAGACAAACGGTGGCGGGCTTCAACCGGACTAGGAGAAGAAGATCCTTTCATATTTCTCAATTCAGCAGCAACACTCCGTCTGTTTCGGATTTAGAAAGCAACAAAACGCAGAAATATAAAGCCTGAAACATGAAAGAGATAAAAAAAAAAAAAAATGTGAGAAGGGAAGCAAAAACAGTACCAAGGAATGAAAATAGGCACCTCAGAATCTGCATATAATCTAAAGATCACCGGAACTTCATTTCGTTTATTATTAGTTATTGTTTTGATCTCAGCCAAGGAATTATAATCATAGACTGGTCAGTGGTCAATTTGAAGAAGCTAGAAATTAACTAACAACAATTTTGTACCATGTTTTTCTTGAGATGTTAATTATAATAGAACTTCACAACAACTTTGTTTCTTTGTTGTTTTTAGGGGGTTACGTTATGTTAGTTTGTCTTTCTGTTTCATACTCGTACATGAATAAGGTGAAAAAATTCCTGAAATGTGCTAACAGGTATATTAATGGCAATCTTTTTTTTTCAGTCATCGACTGTTTCTCAAAGTAAAACGGCAAGTGGTTGGTTTTGAATGATCTAAGCGTGAAGAAATTGCCTAATTAAATTGATCGTCACCACAAATGTTTTGCTTGCTTTCTGTTGATATATGACCATTTATGGTGGAATTGTGGATTCCTTTACCTCTTCATCCACGCCCGAGTTTGTAAAAATATGGATTCATTACGCTTTATTTTAGAATAATAATTTCTTTCACAAAAATTAGTATTCAACCATTGCGTCCTCTTGCTGAAGAAGAAATTGAATATTAGTAACAATGGACAAAAATCACAACTCAAGTTCTTTTGTTACGGTGTTTTCTTTTATAAAAATTTAAATTCAAATTCAATTTTTTACAACTGTGTTTTCTCACATAAAAAGAATTTAAATTTAAATTTGAGTTGTAAAAAAAAACGTACCAAAAAGCCTTCGAGTTAAGAAATTTTTGCAATAGCCACTAAAGGTTTTGTAACTACCTATATAGCGGACTTCTTTAGATAACCTATCATCTAATTCAATATACCGTTGGAAGTTGAGTTTTTACAACTATGTGTTGTACATATGTTGAAATTATAACACTTTGTACTTATCGTAATTATTTAGGTAAAATTTTCGGTTATTATGCAATAAGAATGTGATTATTTATGTTTAATTTTAAAAATCGTTCATCAATTTTACTATAACAGATCAAAACTGTCAAAAAATAAAAATTTAGAGACTATTGTGTCTATCAAAATTAAAAGTTAAAAGGGGTCAAAATGTCATAATACTAAAAGTATAGGGACTCCCAAAAAAAAGAGTTTTAAGGACTAATAGTGCAAATAACCATTCTCGCACGCATAGACATAGGCTTTGTTTGGTATTGTTTTTTCCTCTCAAAATCAACTTCTATTTGTAGCAGAAGTTAATTTTAGTGTTTGGTAAACCTACTTAAAATTACTTTTTGAAGAATTTTTCAAGAATCTACAACCAAAATCAGAAGCAGCCTAAAGATAACTTTAACTTTTAGATTGTGCAAAAATCAACATAATATAATTAATGAAACTTTCATAATACCCATAATACCCCTAATGAAATTTAAAATTTACAATCTTCTTGATCTAAAATTCAGACGCGTAATATAATATAATATAATAGTAATATTGTAACAAATAATATCATAATTATATTAATAACTCTAATATTATTATTTTATCATATAATATGATATGATAATAATATTATAATTATTTTAATAATATGATATTATAATTATAAT